GGATATTAAGAGCCTTTATTTTCAGACTGCTCAGAGCCAAATGTGGCCTAGTAAAGATTCTACAAGAGGTCTGGAGTGGTGTGACCAAAGAAAGAGAGAGGACTCCAGGGCCCGTCCTGGGAAGCCAGATGGATGGCCACCTGGGCAGGGCCAGTGGCCCACATCACAGGCTGACAGACTCCATGAAAGACACACTCAGGTCAAAACAGGATTTCCAATCAAGAAAGGAGACCAGAAATAGACAAGAGAGAAGGAGGAGCTGTCCAAGGGCACCCCCTGCAGGAGTAGGATTGTGAATTACAACAAAAGGCTTTTAGAAAGGGATACAGGGTCCTGGTGATGTTCTGGTGCCTGAATGGAACAATCCATAAGAAAGGCCACAATGACAGCAAAGCCACCACCATACCGTACATGCCTCACAGCTGAAATTTCACCATTAGGATTCTTCTCCTTGGGTTCACAACCAAGTAAGAGCAGGTCTGAAAATTCAATAAAGTGTTTTTGTTTTTTTCTCAAACCTGGTGACATAGTATTGGCGTTTAGCAATATCAGGCAGTGAGCCCTTTTGCTCAGCAACAGTAGGAAGAGGGAATATAATTCAGATCTCAGGACCTTCAGAAACTATTAGAATTCATCCAGAGATGCTGTTGACCCAGCCTGACTCAGCCCTCCTAGCCTTGATCCTAGCCTGGTCCTCTCTGACCTGCTGCATTTACCTGACCCCTTCCTCACCTTCCCATCCCATTTTGGCCCTGTCCATACCCTACAGTGAGTCTGCTCTGACCTAGCCCTAGCCCCCATGTCACTCACATAAGGGTAGGGTAGAGTCTGAGGCCATGGCCAAGGTCCCAACCTCCTGGAACCTTTCTAACTGTCACAGAACCTTCCTGCAACCCCAGCTGCAGGCCAGACTGACTCCCTGAGCCCTGCCTGTGGATGGCAGAGAGACCAAAATCACGGAAGAAAGGACAGCTGAGACCAAATGCGGGGGACAGAGCCTGACCCCAGAGGAGAAACAAGAGGCTTCCAGGTGGCCACTGAAGTATCTGGAAGGAGGGGGCTGAGACAGTTGCAGGCTGTTGAGTGGTCTGGGGACTGGCCCTGCCCTGCGGCTCCACATGGCCCAAAGGCCTCTATCTGACCTCCAGGGCACCCAGCCAGGTTTCCTGACAGCAGCACCAACACCAGCCATGCCAAGACCCAAGACCTCCACCAACTACCTACAACCTGGAGTCAGTACCCCAAACTCTCACCTGCTGATCCACATCGCCGGTCAGTATCCAAGCCCTCCACCAGATATCCGGCAGTCGTCCGGGTCAGTATCCAAGACCCCTCCACAACATCTTCACTAATGTTAAAAAATATCAAAAGCCTAGGGGAAAAATCTAACAAAAGATGTGCAAGACCTTTGGTACAAAACATTATAAAATATTTGTGAGAGAGATTAAAGAAGACCTGTATTAAAAGAGAGAAAGTCTATGTTGTTGGGTTGAAACACTCACTGTTTTAAATGTCAATTCTTCCTCAATGGAGCTATGGACTCAATAATAAGTCCCAACGGGTTTCTAAAGAACGTATGTACTTTTACAGTTCATATGGAATTGCCAAGATTCAAGACTAGCCAAGCCCTTCTTGAAGAAGAAACACAGGGTTGGAGGACTTGTTCTACCAGGTATGGAGTCTTACTATTAAACTGTGGTGATTAAGACGGCCATTCATTCAAGGAGATGGAGGTACACGTCATTAGCATTTCCAATATCTGGGTATCCCCCACTTCCAGGCACACGGCAGACAGCACCAACCCTTTGCAGGTGGGTGGAGCTCTCTGACTGGTTCTGGCAAATGGGCTGTAAGAGGAAGGGAGTGATGGGTGACGTTTGCATGCTGAGTCAACGCAAACCTCACCGACCATTTCCAGTCTCTCTTCTCCGGATGCAGTGTGCTCACAATGGTGCAGACACTTCGCAACTCAACAACAGTTCCCCCTGTCACACCTCCTGCATCAGCAGTGACCTGCCAATGAAAAGGAAATGACTTTAGAGTTTTAATCCATGGTATGTCGGGGTTGTTTGTTACCCAAAACAAAGGATAGCCTATCAGACCCTGTCCAACATACAGACAGATCACTGGGCCACCAGTGCCCAGAAGAGATCCACTCATGTGGGGACGATTGATTTTCCAACAAAAAGTGAAATTTCAGAATAATGGGGAAAAGGATGGTCTTGGAAATCCGTCTGAGGGGAAAAAATAGAACTTGTCCCTACTGCACATCACACACGGAAATCAATCTACTTGGATTATTAGCCTTATCTGAAAGGCAAAACAGTATAAATCTTTTAGAAGAAAATATGAAAGAATTCTTCATGACTCAGGAAAGGATTTCTTAAATAACGAACAAAAATTATTAACTGTAAGTTTTGCACAGTGGCAGTATCATAGCCAATGAAGTTTAGCCAAAGTTTTTTATCATGATTGGGTTTTTTTTTTAGAGACAAAGTCTTGCTCTGTTGCCCGCTGGAGTGCAGTGGCTTGATCATAGGCTCACTGTGGCCTCAAACTCCTGGCTCAAACAACTCTCCTGCCTCAGCCTCCAGGGTAGCTGGGACTACAGGCATGCCACCAATGTCTGGCGAATTTTTTGTAGGGATGTGCCTCACTATGTTGCCCAGGCTCTATTTCCTTTTAAAAAAGCTTTTATTTTTCATATGAAATTTGAATAGAATACAATTTACCTATTTTTCCTTTTTTTAAAAAATTTATCATCTTTATAATATTTTATTTTTAATAAGAAAAATGCTTTGTTTTTTTAAAAAAAAACACATATTATTCAGTCGCCGTAGGGACCGCCAAAAGTCGCCAATGCCGACTATATTGCAAGTCGTCATGGCGGGGTATTGGAACGTTATATTTAGCAATAATCGCACCTTGGCTAAC